AGCTCCTGCTCCTGCATCAGCATCTCCACGTTGCCGAGACCGAACCCACCCATCGCCGCTGCCGCCTGCTGCCGCTTCACCGTCGGCTGCTGAGCCGTACCCGCACCCGGCATCATACCGCCGGGGGGTTGGGGCCGTTGGGGTGGGACGCCCATCCCGGGGGCGTTGGCCTGCTGGGGCGGCGGGGCGGGCTGCATCGGCCCGCCTCGGCCAGCCATGCCCGGCGCGCCGGGCCCTGTGGGTGCCGGGGGCATGCCGGGGGGCGCTCCGCCCATGGGTGGGACACCGTGTGGCGGCATGGCCCCGCCCGCCCCCCACTGCTGACCCCTCTTGGCCACACCTATCACCGCTGGGTCCTGTGATACCTCAGGCACCGCACCTGACATAAGTGACGTACACACATACAGACAGACGAGAGAAGGGGAGAGGAGCTGACATGAATGAAGGCTCGCCCGTCGTGTGTGCGTGTCTCGTGTGTGTGTACCTTACTTACCTTGTCCGATCATGGGTGGCCCCTGCGCCCCCTGTACCATCGAGGGGTCGGCCGGCTGCCCTCTCACACCAAAGGCGAAGGCCTGCGTGCCGCCCATGCCGGGCTGAGGGCCGCCTGCAGGGACGGGAGGCGCCGCTCCCTCCCCCGGCCCAGCAGCGCGCTGCTGGGCCTTTTCTTTGCCAGTCTCGTCGATGAGGTAGCGGAAGTCTCTGATCTCGGGTGGCTGCGGGGCCTTGCCACGGAGCATTGCGTGTGTGTCCATGGGTGCGATGACGAACTCGTGCAGGTGGCTTGGGAAGATGCTGAAGAGCGAGCTGATGAAGTGGGAGTACTGGCCGGAGACCTCCTGGATGTAGCCGATGGGCGTGAGGGTTATCTGGCTGCTGGGGTCCTTGCCCACAGGCGTGTGCAGCAACGAGTGGATGAAGTTCGGGTACTTGTACAGCGACCCGAAACACTGAGATGAGAGAGAGATCGCAAACAAACAAAGACACACATATCCACACGTGTGAGTGACGTGACACAGGCCCGTAACGGGCCGGGCAGTGCAGGTGCTCACTGACCCTTTCGAGCGCCACAATGCCAAAAGCGAAGAGGCGTTGCTTGGGCGACTTCTTGAGGGCCTCGAGGACCGTGCGGATGCACATGGCTCTGGGGACGTCAGGCAGCACCGAGTCGTCGTTGATGAGGAAGCCGAATAGCGTGGCGGTCTTCTTGAGCTCGTTGGACGGATACTTGGGGAAGTACTTGCTCTCCTGGATCAGCACGCAGAACATGTGGCTACCCATCTCCCGCTGGCTGCTGCCGGGGGGGGCCGTGATCAGCTCCTTCATCAGCGCGAGCATCTGCTCCACCGTACGATTCCCTGAACAAATCAATCAATCAACGAACGAAAACAAGACACACACGACACCATACGACGCCCACTCAGTGAGTGCCATCAGTGCATCGCTCTGCTCCTCTCCTTTTGCGAGCGGCTGACCTTGGTACAACTCGGAGAAGTACTCGTTGACTTCCTTCTCCATCACGTCATTCGACGTCATGGCCGTCCCCGGCGGCGCCAGCGGGACGTCAGCCGGACGCAATCCATGAGGGTGAGGAAGCAGGAAGGTGCTCTCGCCAGTGGGGGGTTCGGCCGCCGGCTCAGGCACGCCCTCTCCTTGTCCGCCCTGCTCGCCTGCGCCTTGCTCGTGCTCAGCTGCCGCGGTTTCCATGGGGCCATTGGGGTAGGGGGGGGTGGGTGAAGGCCCCTCGGCCACTGCGGCAGGCTGCTGGTTCTCGGTGCCGTTGTGGTTGGCAGCCACATGGGGGCCGTTGGGGTGGGCCTCCGGCGCCTTGTCGGTCTCCCCGTTGTGCGCTGCGGCGGCGGCGGCCGGGGCCGTGTGATTGGCGGAGAACGTAGACAGCTCCGGGAACGCCTGAGACAGACAGACAGACAGACGCACGAATGAGAAGACCGACTCTGTCTTTCTGTCTGACTGACTGACTGACAGTACCTGGATGGCAGCAGCGACGAGCGAGCTGTACTCCTTGTGTGTGGTGTCCTTGACGTCAATGCCGGTCGAGTAGGGCTGCAGGATGGATATGAACTGCCCCACGGTGTCCCTGTCGAGGGCGCCCTCCCGCTTGACGTGGTCCCGCACCTCCGTCCGGGGCATCTTGCTCTTGAGGAATGCTACGCAGCCCAGCATGGCGGCGTTGACGTCGTGGCGCAGCTGCTGCGTCAGCCACTGGTTGAGGTTGAGGTACTCACGCTGGTAGGCCAGGTGGATGAACTCAAAGAGGAACGGCGACGGGCTCGTCTGCATCAGCACCGCGTTGAGGCCCGCACGCACCTCGTTGCACATGTCGAGCAGCTTCCGCAGGCACCCGGGGTCCCGCGCCCACATGTTGTTGAGGATGACCGTGAAGTGCCGGGGGAAGTCTGTGGCCACCCGCCGCTGCACCGCCTTGGCGTTGCTGTGGGTCTGCGTGAAGTACTCGGGCACCAGCTGGTCCAGCAGCCACTGACCCACAGACGTGAGGGTCTCAGGCTGCTCCACGTGCAGCAAGCACACCAGCAGCAGCTCCGGGCAGTTGCGCTGCGCGTGGCCGCAGAGGTCACGCACCTCCTGGTTCCACTCGGACTCGCCAATGTCCAGCAGCGTCCTCAGCAGCTGGGGGCAGGCCCACGCCCTGTTGGGCCCGCCATCGGCCATGGCCGACCCCTCCACACCGTCCACTGGCGCCAGCAGCGGGGAGGCGTGTGCGAAGGTGAAGACCTCTGGGGGGGCGTGGATGGCGTGGCGGAGGAAGTCCAGCTGCGCCTTCTTGTTCTTCCAGGGGCGGCCGATGACGACCTCCAGGGGGAAGGGGGCGCCCTTGGCCGACTTCTTGTGGATGGCCATAATCAGGTTGAAGGCGTTCTCGTCGGGCAGCCGCAGCTCGGGTGTGTCGAGGCACTCCCACACCGACAGGCCGCCGCTGGCTGAGCCCTCGGGGCCGGACACAGTGTCACCACCTGCCCCAGTGGTCACCCTCCAGTTGAGGTGGGGGAATGAGGGCGTGAGAGTGTCTACGAAGACGTCTACGTTCCAGTAGGAGCCCTCCATGGGGTCGCTGCCGTTCATGTTGATGGGTCCGACGTCGAAGAGGTGCATGGTGGTGTTCCACTTGTCCCTCACGGCCTGGTTGAACAGGTTGGGGTGCAGCGAGGGGTTGTGGGTGCCCCCACCGCCACCACCGCCGGTGCCAGACGCAGGCTCGGCGCTCAGCGACCCGTCGTTGGTCGCGGCCATCATGGCGATCATCTCGGCCACCTCGCGCTCGCCCAGGGAGGGGAAGGCCTGCAGGAAGCTGCGGAAGTGCTCCGACGAGACGCATGCCGAGTAGCCGAGCTCCTTGAGTAGGTGGTATGGCTTGGATGCCGGCTGGCCGTCCATGTGGAGGCGTTCTGCGTCAGTCATGATGGTTGTCTTGGAGTGGGGGAGAGAGGGGGCGGGGGAGGAGGGGGGCGACTGGGAAGAGGAGGTGGTGGGAGGGAGGGGGGAGGTCACGCGCAGGTGGCGGACGGGGGCGATAGCGGGGTTGACGCTGGGTAGCTCGGGGTGGGCGTTGAGCAGCGATTTGACGTGCTCGTCGCGCGACACCGACACACCGCCACTGCCGGCGGCCTGGTCGAAGAGGGCGGTGAACTCGTCTGCCTTGAGTGCGAACAGGAGGTCCTCGAGGACGAAGCGGGGCAGCTTGCGGTCCTTGTCGGCCTCCTTCAGACGACCTAGCACGAAATGAGCCGCGTGCTTGCGGGTCGACTCGTTGCTCTGACGGTCAGCACACAAGGCACAAACATGTATGTGTGTATGTGATGTGTGTGATGTGTGGCTCTCCTCTCACCGAGTAGAGTAGTCCGACTCCGAGTGCGAGTTGCGATGCGGTTGAGAGGTGGATCCGTTTGCTGAATGCCGAGAGGAAGTCCTCAGTCACGGGTGTGGCGTCGCTCCCTGCTGCGGCCTGGCCGCTGGTGCTTCCTGCGTGGGGTCGGTCTGCCTTGCGGGCGGTGCTGCCTGATGCCGAACTCGATGCCTCGATGCGGTGGCTCTCTAGCGCCTCACAGAAAGCCGCGACGAATTCGGGGTCAGTGGAGAGGGCGCTCAGCTCATTCTGGATGAGGGCGACCTTGGGGCTCTCGGTTGTCTGCGTCTTGTGTCCGCCGGGGGGGTTGAGCTCGTCGAGTAGGACTTTGCAGTAGTAGACTTGGACGTCATGGCCGTAGAGGTTGATGAGGGTGTGGAGCTCTGCGATGGATGCCTTGCTATTCTTCTTGTTGAGGGAGGTCACCAGGTGCTTCACTTGCCACAGTATCGGTTGGAAATGGGCAACCATTACGGTGCGGGCCACTCACCCGGGGTCACTCTACACCCAATCCACAACAAGCCAATCGACCGACGACCAAAGGCTGGTGAGGGGGTCAGCCAAGAGGGAGAGGGGGGAGAGAGGGGGAAGAGGTCAATGGGGGAGGGGAGGGGCAGGGGGAAGAGGGACGCCAGAGCACCGACAGACAGCCGACGGTGAGATGAGAGGAAGGGAAGGGGTCGATCCGATCCGATGGCGACGGTAACTCGGGCAGATGAGAACCTAGTGGATGGATGCAGCCGTCCTCCTGGACCACACGGCGGCCAGAGAGAGGCTCGCTCACCAATCCAGCAATATATGCACTCGAGAGAGAGTAAGAGGGGGATAGTCCTGGTCAGTCAGTGCCGGGGAGACCACGCGTGTCTCCCCCTCGTGTGTGGCCGTGGCACGCCGCTGCTGAGATGAGGGGGATAGATGAGATGCCGCGGCACCGGATGCCTAAGCTCCCGCCATCAGCACGGGCACGCGGGATGCGATATCACGCCATTTGTCGACTCACCGCATCAAAATGGGCAGCAGGAAGCTCCGGTCCGTCACTAAACACCCTCACTGCCGCCAGATCACCGGCTTCTTCAATTTGCGAGCTTCTTGTAACAGCTCGCACTCTGACGAACCACTTGCTTTGACGAAGAAGTTGCGAAGGGGACAGGCAGCAGCAGTGAGTCGCCTCTCTTCCCTTGTCGACATCTCGATGGCTGACGACGGCCTCTCGGCGTCCGAACTTCGTCGCAGATACGGTGCGCAGCGGCACTCACAGGGCAGGCGATACGCACACGCACACGCCCGTGGATGCAGGTCACTCTCTTGCATGCTGATCTCCCTTCTGTGCTGTGCTTGTGTGTTGCCTGTTTATTGTCAGGTCCCGGCGGTTCGGCGCCGGACAGCGAGTTGAGTGCGGCGCAGCTGCGTGCCAGGCACAACGTGCAGAATCGTGAGTTCCGTGCTGACGATGGCGGCGGGGTGCTCATGTACGTGGTGGCCGGCATCGCACTCATAGTCTTCCTCGCTATCATGTACGTCCTCATGGCCAAGCAGGGAGCTGAATAGTGGGGCCTCCTCATGACATGCATGAACCACACACAACTTGGGGAAGGGAGGGACAGGACAGAGCAGATAGCGGCGGGCGGGGCGGGCCGGTGCATTAGCG